CCTAGTTACACCCCCCCCCCTTACAATAATAAAACATAACTATTTCAATGGGGCTTGACATACATTCGATTCATCGACTTGACTTAGGAACACCGGGAAAAAAAATCCACTAACCCCCCCTCAAAATGTCTTTCCCCAGGGGTTCCCTAGAATGATATTATTTCAAAAACATTTTGACCCCCTTTCACATAATTATTTTGCAGGGAGTCCCACATGTCAAGCTTCAACCCCAAGTGTTCTCCACCCCCCTTCCACTCCAACTCAATGTTTAAAACATGTTTTGAAATATGAGGGACGCCTTCAGAGAATGCCCCGTCAATATGCATCAGAAATCTCAGAATAACAGAAGGATACCCCTATCAAAAAATCTAGCGACAAAAGGGAATGCGTAGCATTGCGTAGCCTACCGAAACAGAATTGAAGAAAATCACAAAGTACATTATATCAGGAAATCCTGCACAATGTTGGCTTTGCAAAGCGCTTTACTATTTTTTAGGTATGTCTTGTTGTTTTTTAGGATCGATGCGTTGCAAATCCGGAAGCGCAAATACATTTAAACATCACGTTTCATGTGTGCTCCCTTCCAGTCATCTCAGAATCTCCCTTCAATTTAAATTGCACCAAGAACGCATCAAAATTTGCAACCCGCAACCAAAAAACGTTCTTTGAGAAATTATTTTAGGGGTATTGGAGATCCCCTGCACTCCTCAGAAATCAAAGTGGGCAGCTGCCAGGACCATCTAACTTGCCCAGAAGCTGGAAACGAACTCAAAAACATATAAAGACCGAATGCTTACCATCGTTCTTTGGAGGCAAATGAAAGGAATATGGGAGAAATATGGCGAAATAAGGGAAAATATGAAAGGTTAGGAAAACCACTACAGGAAAGAGCCAGGTTGAATACTATTTCGTGGGATTTCCCAAGGGGAGAAATTATTTTAGGGGTATTGGAGATGCCCTGCACTTCTCAAAAAACAGCTACCAGAGCGACCCAACCCGCCCAGAGGCTGGAAAAAAAAACAAAAACTCAAAAACCTATAAAAACCGAATGCTTACCATCGAAAGTTCTTTGGAGGCACATGAAAGGAATATGGGAGAAATATGGCGAAATAAGGAAAAATGAAAGGCTAGGAAAACCACTACAGGAAAGAGCCAGGTTGAATACTATTTCGTGGTATTTCTCAAGGGCAGAAATTATTTTAGGGGTATTGAAGATGCCCTGCACTTCTCAAAAAACAGCTACCAGAGCGACCCAACTCGCCCAGAGGCTGGGAAAAATTCAAAAACCTGCAAAACCGAATGCTTGCCCTTTCCCACTCATTCCCACCGTCTTTTTTGACAGGACACATGAAAGGAATATGGGAGAAATAGGGAGAAGTATGAAAAAATAGATAAAAATAGGAAGTATGTAGGAAAAATTAATTAATTAAGATAATTGCTGAACACCATTTTGCGGGAATTCCCAAGGGGAGAAGGTCTTATAGGTGTTTTTTTTCTGACCACTTGAAGTGTATATATATATATATACGAAATTATTTCAAAACAATATTGACGGGTTGGATCATAATAGGACACAACAAACCATGGCGTGAGGAGTCTTGAAAACGGAAGCAGTCAATGAACCAACAGGGGGGGCTTGCTTGTGAGATGACCCGTGGAACCCCCCTCAAAATAATTAGGTGGAAGGACCTTGAAATAATTTCATGGATTTTGGATGATATTTAGGGGGGTCTGTTTCTGGAAATTATTTCCGGGCATCTGCACTTAAGGATGTGAAATATAACAGAGGTGAACCCCCCTGGAAATTTTGGAAATTATTTCTAGGGGGGGGGGACGGGGGGCCCTAGCTTAGGTAGGGGTGATGTGAAGCACATTTCCAAGTCAAAACGTGCAAAATGCACCACATTCGGAGCACTTTTGGAAGTTGAGATGAACGAAAAGTGCACACCGTTGTTGCGCGAAGCACATTTCGAAGTCAAAGGTGTAAAAAACTGGCGTTCTGAGCGCTTTTTGAAGCTCAGATGTCGAAAAAGTGCACGCCGTTGTGGCGCGAAGCACATAATGTTGAAAACACACCACATGCGAACCACTTTTGGATGTTCGCGACACGACAACAACAACAACAACAACAACTACTACTACTACTACTACTACTACTACTACTCCTGCTACTGCTACTACTACTACTACTACTACTGCTACTCCTGCTACTCCTGCTACTCCTGCTACTACTACTACTACTACTCCTGCTACTACTACTACTACTGCTGCTACTACTACTACTACAACAGCTACAGCTACAGCTACAACAGCTACAACTACAGCTACAACAGCTACAACTACAACTTCAACTACCAGTATGCTACACTACACTACACGAGACACTCCACACCACACTGCACGACACTACACTACAACAACTACACCTACAACTACAAATGCAAATATATTAGGTTACATTTCGCCACACTAGTTACACTGCACTACACTACACTACACT